GCTTGAATTGGTGACTCCCGCCTTTATCAAGTTACATTAGCATTTCAAAATGATATCAGTGGGATCATTATTGCCATATATTATTGACATTCTGGAGCTTTATTAATTTATTTAACAAATATTTAATGATCATCTATTGGTTTTCATGCAGTGAGTAAAACCAAGTCCCTGTCCCCTGTCCTTGGAAAGATCTCCAAGCACTTTTGCAGGTGTTACATTACCTGGCCATCAAACCATCATTTGTGGAAGGAAAAGCACATCTGGGATCATTCTTATTTCACAAATAGGTGAATGAACACCCTTATTAAGTGACTTACCTCAGAACAAGGTAAACGGTAAGATGTGTAACAGTGAGGGCCCAACAAACATATAACATGCAGTTTTTGAATGTAGCTGGAAACTTCATAAAGATACCAGAATTAGAATATGACTCCTCAGAGAGTGCTCCAGTGTTGGGTGATGGTCATTATTTGGCTTATTTCTGTAGCCTTAATTATTCCCTCATGTGTTCAGCCTCTCCAGGATCTTCTCTGGGGACTGTCTGTGAGGAGGCCAGCCTCACAAGCTTGCCCTGGTCAGTGACAAGCCCACTGGCACTTCCCGTGGCAGTCCGGCATTCGCCCATCACCATGCTTTATGGTCTTGAAGTATTCCCACCATCCAACCTACATTCATTGTCTTGAACTCACCTGAGGTTTTGACAAAAGCTGAGGCCCCTCTCCCCCACAAAAGGTAGATACACTTCACTTTCGCATTCAGTGGAGCGGGTGTCGTGACCGCAGGGTAGCAAAGCAGGAGCTAGATGATAATGTGCACACACCCCATCTCCCTTTCTTTTCTTTGACATTTAAAAAAAAAAATCCATCCGTTTGATACTAACTTTTATAAGCAGAGGAAGACTATGTGGGATTTGGAAATGCTTACTTTTTAAAACTGGACACTGTAGAATATTTAGGAATCTGAATGGATTGTAACAAGATAGCATCACTAACCTCTGGGGCAGCAGGGGCCAGGGTGGGGGGTGATATTTTCTTTTTCTTAACCTCAGGGCGCCAAGTGCATTTTTTGTTCTCATTAAGCCAGTGCCACACCGTTCCAGTCACCACAGGTGGAACACCTCACTTCCGAGCTCCCTTCTGAATTCCCAAGGGCACCTCGATACCCTCTTGGTGGTATGCTGTACCTTCCCTGCGAAAACTTGGTCAGATTTGAGAGATGAGCATCTCCTCGCAATTAAATGAAATGATTTCACAAGCATAGGAACCCTTGCGAAGCAGCACCGAAGCAGCATTCCAGAGCTAATAGGGCCTCACCTCTGAACAGGTAGTGCCTTCACCGAGCATCCTGGCTACTTTCAGAGAACAGCTTCTTTAGCCACTTGGATTTTCTTCCTCAGTGATCTTCTTACCTTATTTTACATTCCGTTTTCATTTGTCAGAGTGTCTCTTTTGTCCGTCGCCTTTTCAGAATTTATGGATGGAAAGGGAAACAGTCTCTGGGCACAATTTAATAAAGTCTATTAACCATTCTTTTCCAAATTTAAATTCCTGGGTCATTTTACTCAAATCCTGGTAGAGCCTTACTTATTTTTTTTGCATTGATCAGTGTTTCAGATTAGAAGGTGAAGGTGTCAGCAAACCCAGAATAACAGCACCTTTTATGTGACAGAAGGTTACTCTCCCCCACAATGAGGTGTGGAGATAAGCAGCCTAGGACTGGAATGGAGCTTCCTCAATCATCCAAGACCTTCTGTCTTACAGTCCTTCTATCCTTCTATGGTGTTCACTCATCATCCTCAAAACGTGTTGGAATCTACCCCCAGTACAATGTAGCTATTCGAGCTACAGGAATCCTCTCTGCATTTCAGTCAGCTGGAAGGAGCACAAAGGTCACACTAACTTCTTGCCATAGTGCATGTCTGTCTTGACTCACAAAGCTCAGACTACAATGTTTCATGAAAAATTAGAGCTTTAAAAAATTTGTTAGTTTTAGTCTCATGTAATCTGCATAAAGACTACTTTTCTGGCCCAGGTTTTTCTTGGTGAGGCATTCAAGAAACATCAACTCAATACATTAAAAAAAAAAAAATTGTTGGAAAAGCATTTTAAATCTTTGCAGAATTATCTTGACAAAGACCAAAGGGGATCTAATCATAACCTACTAGAGAGCTTAAAGTTGTCTTTTTCCAATTCTCTTAAAACCGCACACACACACACACACACACACACACACACACACACACTGCAGTTTAACTCCCCACACCTCTAGTGCTAGCCTAGGCCCTGCTCACCTCCCTGCTCACCTCCTTATCTCTTCACCAATTGCTTCTGCACATTCTTTTGTTGAGCAAGCAAACCAGTCAGTACAATTGCACTTGAGAACTGTTACCTCAATTCTCCAGAAAACAATCTGGATTAGACCAAATTGCCCTTAATGTCCAAAGGTCTAGAAAGGTGTGTGAATTCTCATTTATTAATTTTGCTAAGCTTGGACACTCGTAATAAAATGTATAATCCTAAAATCCCTTATATGTAATCCCCAAATCCAAAAAGCCTTGAAAACAAAGTTTTCTTCCAATTTATTTGACAGGAAAATCTGACCTAAACTTTGTGAGGATATTTATAGTCTCTATATATCTCACTTAGTGTAAATATTTTTACATTTCATAGAGAAATATTACTAAGGCAATATTATAAATAATATGGTATGCTTTCTAAAACCCTAATCTGAATCTAAAATAAACCATTCAGACGAAGGATTATTTGCAATTATTTCCTGTAATAATGCTCTATTTTATTAGGAATTTAGGAATTTCTCATTTAGGAATAAACAAATTCCAAATTTTAAGAGTAAGCAAAATTTTTTTCACTATTTTTAAAATAATTTGTTGTACAAATATATACATTAGATGCTGGGGAACTTGTATGCCTCAAGAAGTAGAATATTTGGTGCATTAAGCAAAATTACTCTAAACCTGACAAAGGAGACAAAAAAATCACTGGAGAAATTTTTCAATGGGTTCCTGAGTATTGCTTTGTAGACCCTCTCTGGGATTATTGATTTCATAGGTGTGTGTAATTTTGATCAATTTTCTATTAACTAGTCTTTTTATAACTCTGTAAGACTAGAGGTTAATGGTAGAAAATGGATAGGAATGCAAATAATTCTTTTCTGAAAACAATGCAAATATTCCTGATAACAAGGCAAATGAATTTTGTCCAGTAGAGGTTCAATTAATTTCCGTCAGTTAGGAAAGCTCATTCCAAATATTAAAGTTTGTTGCCATGTGTGATATTAACCAGTTTCACATCAATTAGAAAAGTCACTTCTGGGGGCGTCTGGGTGGCTCAGTCATTGGGCATCTGCCTTTGGCTCAGGACATGGTCTCAGGGTCCTGGGATCAGACCCCTATCGGGCTCCCTGCTCGGCGGGAAGTGTGCTTCTCCCTTTCCCACTCCCCCTGCTTGTGTTCCCTCTCTCGCTATCTCTCTGTGTCAAATAAATAAAATCTTGAAAAAAAAAAAAAGAAAAGTCACTTCTGAAGGACTTTGACTTGAACACATAAATCTCTGTTCCTCCGATTCTTTGAATTAGTTGTAGCAACTTAACACTTCTCTCATTAATGGATTGAATAAAATCTTTGACACATATTCATTGTATATTTATATGAGCATCATGTTACTTACTCTTTCGAGAACCATACTTTAAAAGGTGCTTGCAGGGGCACCTGGGTGGCTCAGTCAGTTAAGCGGCTCGGCTGCCTTTGGCTCAGGTCATGATCCCAGGGTCCTGGGATCAAGCCCTGCATTGGGCTTTATGCTCAGCGGGGTGCCTGCTTCTCCTTCTACCTGCCACTCCCCCCTGCTTGTGCTCCCTCTTTCCCTCTCTCTCTCTCTGACAAATAAATAAATAAAAATCTTTAAAAAAATAAAAGGTGCTTGCACTATAGGAACTCACATATTTGTTAAGTGAGGATAAGCTATGGAAAAACCATCAAGGCAGTATACAATAAATGATAAATTATCAATATGGATTCGAGGAGCTGTGGTAGAGTTTCTGTATGACTATATTCTTGTTATTTGTCCTGCATTGCTCTTATTTACCTAGCAGACAATTCTGCATTTTATGGAGTGCCTGAGAAGGAAATACACACAGGGCATGATCCTTGTCCTCGAGTTGTTAACAGTCTCGTGTAGGAAAAAGACATGAACAAATCATCATAAAGTAATGATAATGGACAGAGAAGAGAAAAACAGTTAAGACCTTACTGTGTCCTTATGCTTTATATTTATTATGATGCCTTATATTATTTTATTAAAACCTAAAATTTTGGAGGGACTTTACCCCCAATTTTATCATTGGAGCGGGGACAACCAACTAATTGTTGTAATAGTCATGAGGGAGAGGGTGGGAGCCCCAAAGCAATTTCACATGTTTTAATTCCTGAGACCAAAGCTTTTCCCTCATCTCCCTCAGTTCATTTGGTTGACTCTGGACTCAGGCTAAATCCTGACCCCCAAAGATCCACAGAATGGGAACCCTGACACAGGCCTGGCAAACGCGGACAAGGTGTTGCTGTAGGACTTTGGAGTTTTTCTCAGGTTTGGACATAATCAGGAGTAGCTCCTTGCTGGGAAGCTGTAGATCTAGAAGGTCAGAGACAAGGTGAGGTTAGTTTACTTCCTTGAGCTTTTCCAGTTTTCAGTGTTCGGTGCTGCCAGGACACCTGGTATGTGAGAGATGGGGACGAGGTGGTGCTCAGAGCTGGGTTTCAGTTAGGAAAGCACCAGAGATTGGTCTGCCTGCCCCAACCTGAAAAGCTGAAGGGAGTTGCAGAAGCTGGACTCTAAACACTAGCAAATATTGACAGAAGTGAGGGTCATGGCTAAACCCTCTGGTCCAAGTCTGTTGTAGCAGGATAAGCCTGCACTTCAAAGGAACTTGTCAACTGGATTTGCATAACGGAACCCTGGTGATTTCTAAAACTGAGTTTTAAAACTGGCAGCTGGTCAGCCTCTCCCCTGCTGCAGAATCCCTCCCTGTACTAATTTCCTCATATCTGTTCATATTTCCTGCTGTAGGATTTTTTTTTTTTTTTAATTCTTCCAAGGAAGAGAAATCAGGACAACCTCTTCTCTAGGAGAGAAGTAGTTGGTATCCTAAGTGGTGTGAGAAGATCTATTTTGATCCAAACCGGGTGTTGTCTGGTTTGGGTTCATTCCAGCCTGGGTCAAGCAACTGATCACAAGATGGTTTTTCGGTTTGTGTGCTATCTTGTGGTTGTGTGGCTGATTTCTGCCTCAGATGGTGCGTATGCTTAAGATTGGATTATAGGGCACTTGATATCGGTCTATGGGTTATGAGGCATTCTGTCTAGGGTTTTAATGAAATTTAAATTAATGAAATTTAAATTAATGAAATGTATTTCATTTATTGAAAAATCTCAAATTACTTGACCTAATACTCTGTACTCAGTAGGAGCTTAGTAAATATTTTTTTTTAATTTCATTTATTTGACAAGGAGTGGGAGGGAGAGCAAGAGAGGGAGAGAGAGAGAGAGAGCACGAGCAGGGGGGTACGGCAGAGGGAGAGGGAAAGCAGGCTCCCCCCTGAGCAGGGAGCCTAATGCGGGGCTCAATTCCAGGACGCTGGGATCATGACCTGAAGGCAGAGGCTTAACCGGCTGAGCTACCCAGGTGCCACAGGGGCTTAGTAAATATTTAATGATGATTCTGCTCTATGACGTGGGTGGTTAACTTTATTTTCCTTTTCTGTTCTGGGTGCAAAAAGTACCAATTTCAAGATCTTGAGAAGTCTTATCTGTTATACACTCCAGGAATGCTCTTTGGAAAAGGGATTGTTTCTTTAGGGGTAAATAACTTATGGATGAATTTGAGTGAAACCAGTTATCCTTTTGAAACCAAAACTTTGGGAATTATTGGGAAGGGGGGGGAGTGGATGGACATAGACATGGAAGAGAACAGGGAATCAGAATCCATAATCCAGCAAAAAGACACTTGGATGGCGGTCTAACAGGGCTTCCTCACGGCACATGATATGTCAAGTGACTCTGTTATCTTTTTCCTTCCAACAGAGAGCTGTCCAGAAGTTCCCGCAGTGGAAAACGGCATAATTGTTATAGAGGAGACAGAAGGACAAATTCTGGGGACTTGCGTTTGTATCAAGGGCTACCACCTGGTAGGAGAGAAAACCTTTGTTTGCAATGCCTCTACGGAGTGGAATGCTCCTGTTCCCACATGTCGACGTAGGTTTGATCTTCTTGTTTCTTTGTATATCTTGTTATCCCACTTGATTCTTTCACATCCTACTTCCAGCAGGCCATGTTCAAACTTTATAAGAAAAAAATTCTCAGGGCGCCTGTGTGGCTCAATTGTTTAAGCATCTGCCTTCAGTTCAGGTCATGATCCCAGGATGCTGGGATCGAGCCCCACATCAGGCTCCCTGCTCAAGGGAATCCTGTTTCTCCCTCTCCCTCTGCCACTCCCTCTGCTTGTGCTTGCTTGCTCGCTGTCTCTCTCTGTCAAAAAAAAAAAAAGAAAGGAAAGAAAGAAAGAAAGAAAGAAAGAAAGAAAGAAAGAAAGAAAGAAAAGAAAAGAAAGAAAGAAAGAAAAATTTCTCAGTTTCTAGGAATTCATTTTTAAAGCACTCTAGGATGGAACTTCTCTTAGAAGCTACAGTATCAGTTCTTGCTCAGTACTGATTACATTAATTAATAAATTGATTGAATTAATAGACACAATCAACCTGCAGGAAGAAAAGAATTTCTTCCATGTATTAAAACTACCTTTTTGGGGGCTATAATTTGTTTAATATCATACTCCTTTAAAATTTTAAAAAATTTAAATTGTTTTAAAAAAATTTTAAACATATACAAAAGACGGAAGAGTAAAATCAACTCAACAATTATCCACATATAACTAATCTTTTATCTTCTATAATTCTGTTTTGCATTATTATTTTGAAGTAAATATGTCATATTCTATTTCATCCATTATATAATGTTCAAACTGGGAAAAATTTATGTTCTTAATTTACAAAGGTGATAACTGAAATCCAAGTGATTTGCTCAAGTTCACAAAGCTCATTTGTGGTGTCTGTGGAGACAGAGAGTCACTAGTCAATATCCTCATTATTATTACTATTTTTAGGACTAACTGGGTTTGTTTTCCACACCAATATGTTTATCCTTTATTTATATGACCAAATTCATCTCTCTCTGCATTCTCTCCTGTGTTTTTTTTTTCACCTGGGAAAAGCAAAATGAAACAAAGTAAAACACGATGAGTGGTGTGTACATTTCACTGGGTGAGAAGGAAGGGAACCCTTGCCTCAAACATAGGGTGAAGAGTTTTCAGCAGTGCTGAACAGGAGGATGAACACACTGTTGATCATTTCCAGTTCTATGCTTAATTACTTTTAATAAGTTCAAGTGCCAGCTGTCACCCTTGTGCATGACCAAGACCTTTCCTGGCCACTCTCAGGTCAACCTACTCTCTTCGTATCCAGCATCGATACAGTTTGGTACTAGGTACCAGCGCAGTTTTTTTTTGTTTTGTTTTGTTTTTAAAGATTTTATTTATTTAATTGACAGAGAGATAGAGAGACAGAGAGAAAGGGAACACAAGCAGGGGGAGTGGGAGAGGGAGAAGCAGGCTTCCCGCTGAGCAGGGAGCCCGATGCGGGGCTCGATCCCAGGACCCTGGGATCATGACCTGAGCGGAAGGCAGTCGCTTAACCAACTGAGCCACCCAGGTGCCCCACCAGCGCAGTTTGTAGTTGCTATTAAAAAGCACTGTTTTAGTTCTGACTTCTGGTTTCTCAGTGAAGTTGGAGGTCTCGCCTTTGTAGCGGTGTCCTTTCAGATCACTTCCTGTTTTCTTCCTCAGCGGGCCACTGTCCTGACCCGGTGCTGGTGAATGGCGAACCCAGCTCCCTGGATCCTGTGAGTGTGAGTGACAAAATCACTTTTAAGTGCAATGAGCACTATATCCTCAAGGGCAGCAGTTGGAGTCAGTGCCTGGCCAACCACACCTGGATGCCTCCCTTACCCGTCTGCAAAAGCAGTGAGTGCAAATCCAAAGATACCAATCAGATACCTCATTTTCTGTTCCACATCTCTAGTATTGATGAGCATTTATTCTATTTCTGTATTTTTTCTATTACAAACAATGCTAAAATGAATGTTATCATATTTATAGATACACATACATATATTTTTATGTCTATGCTATTATTTCTGTCGTCTAGATTCCTAGAATGATTGGTGGGTCACAGGATATTTATTTGCCAAATAAACTTAGAAGATCGAAGAAATTCTACCAAAAAAATGTTATTCTTGGACAAAAAGTAAATATTGAAAAATCAATAATATTACTTTCTTTTTTAAAAAATTTTATTTTATTTTATTATGTTATGTTAGTCACCATACAGTACATCATTAGTTTTTGATGCGGTGATCCATGATTCATTGTTTTTGTGTAACACCCAGTGCTCCATGCAGTACGTGCCCTCTTTAATACCCATCACCGCACTTTCTAACAATAATTATGAGATGAATACTGAAATGTAAAATAATTTCATTCATGAGACTATATGAAAACTTAATGAAGGACATAAAATAAGACTTAAATAAAAGAAAAGATATGCCATGATCCTGTATGGATAGACTGGTATTACAATGTAATTCTAACCAGAATTTCAAATTTAAAAATATAAAACAAAAAATTAAGTTTATTTGGAAGGGTACATATCTAACATTACAGATTTATTTACTTAAAGACTTAATTTTTTAGAGCACTTCTAGTTTCATAATAAAACTGAGGGAAAGGTACAGAGATTTCCCATATACTCCCCACCCCCACACATTCATGTTATTGGCATCATTCATCAGAATAGTACCTTTTTTTTTTTTAAACCAAGGATGAACCAATATTGACATATCACGATCACCCCAAATCCATAGTTACCTAAGGACTCAGTCTTGGTGTTGTACATTCAGTGGGTTTGGACATAAGCATAATGACATATATCTACCACTATAATATCATATAGAGTATTTTTCCTGCCCTAAAAATCCTCTGTGCTCCATTTATTCATCTTTCTATTTCCCCTACCCCTATCAACCACTGACCTTTTTTTTGGTTGTTGTTATTATGTTCAACTAGCCAGCATATAGTACATCATTAGTTTTTGTTGTAGTGTTCAGCGATTCATTAGTTGCATATAACACCCACGGCTCATCACCACTCGTGCCCTCCTTAATACCCATCACTCGGTTGTCCCATCCCCCTCCCCCCCTCCCTTCTGTAGCCCTCAGTTTGGTTCCCGGAGTCCAGAGTCTCTCACGGTTTGTCTCCCTCTCTGATTTCTTCCCATTCAGTTTTCTCTCCCCCTGTGGTCCTCCACACTAGTCCTTATGTTCCACATATAAGTGAAACCATATGATAATTGTCTTTCTCTGCTTGACTTATTTCAATTAGCATAATACCCTCCAGTTCCATCCATGTTGATGTAAACAGTAGGTATTCATCCTTTCTGATGGCTGAGTAATATTCCATTGTGTATATGAACCACATCTTCTTTATCTATTCGTCTGTTGAAGGGCATCTCAGCTCCTTTCACAGTTTGGCTATTGTGGACATTGCTGCTCTGAACATTGGGGTGCATGTGACCCTTCTTTTCACTACATCTGTATCTTTGGGGTAAATACCCAGTAGTGCAATTGTTGGGTAATAGGGTAGCTCTATTTTTAACATCCTGAGGAACCTCCATTCTGTTCTCCAGAGTGGCTGCACCAGTTTGCATTCCCACCAACAGTGTAAGAGGGTTTCCCTTTCTCCACATCGTCGCCAACACTTGTTGTTTCCTGTCTTGTTAATTTTTGCCATTCTAACTGGTGGAAGGTGGTATCTCATAGTTTTGATTTGTATTTCCCTGATGGCTACTGATGTTGAACATTTTTTTGGGTCTGTTAGCCATTTGTATGTCTTCTTTGGAGAAGTGTCTGTTCATATCTTCTGACCTTTTTATTGTATCCATAGTTTTGCCTTTTCCAGGGTACCATATATTTGGAATCATATAGTATGTAGCCTTTTCAGATTGTTTTTTTTTACTTAGTAATAGGCATTTAAGTTTCCTCCATTTCTTTTCATGGCTTGATAGCTCATTTTCTTTTATCAAATAATACCCTATTTCTGGATGTACCACAATTTATTGATCCATTCACCTTTTTTTTATTATGTTCAATTAGCCAACATATAATACTTCATTAATTTTTGATATAGTGTTCAGCGATTCATTAGTTGTGTATAACACCCTGTGCTCATGACCACATGTGCCCTCCTTAATACCCGTCACCTGGTTAGTTCTGAAGGACATCTTGGTTGCTTCCAAAGTTTGGCAATTATGAATAAAGCTGCTATAGATATCAGGTGCAGGTTTTTGTGGGGACATAAGTTTTCAACTCCTTTGGATAAATACCAAGGAATGCAATTGTTGGATCTTGTATATTTAGTTTTGTGGGAAACCATCAAACTCTCTTCCAGAGTGGTTATGTCATTTTGCATTCCCACCAGTGATGTATGAGAGATCTCATTGCTCCACATCCTTGTCAGCATTTGGTGTCATCAGCATTACAGATTTTGGCCATTCTCATAGTTGTGTAATGGTATCTCATTGTTGTTTTAATTTGCATTTCCTGATGACAGATGCTCATTTTCCATCTGTATATCTTCTTTGGTGAGGTGTCTGTTAAGGTCTTTGGCCCATTTTTTAATCAGATTGTTTTCTTATTGTTGAGTTTTAAGAGTTCTTTGTATATTTTGGATAACAATCCTTAATAAGATTTGTCTTTTGCAAGTATTTTCTCCCAGCCTCTGGCTGGTTTTCTCATTCTCTTGATATGTCTTTCATAGCACAGAAGTTTTAAATTTTAATGAATTCCAGCTGATCAATTATTTCATGGATGGTGTCTTTACTGTTGTATCTAAAAAGGCTTCCTTCCCTATACCCAAGGTCATCTAGGTTTTCTCCTATATTATCTTCTAGGTGTTTCATAGTTTTGTATTTTACATTCAAGCCTATGATCCATTTTGAGTTAATTTTTGTGAAGGATATAGTAGATAGGCAGTTTAAAAGCACAAACTACAGTTAGCCTCTTTTAGGGAGTTTGTGGTTACTTAAAACATGCATATATACAACACGCAGTTAAATTACAAGCATATACCATCATCATTAGTTTGACACAAGTTTAAAGTATTTATTTCTTCCAGCCTTTCTGTTTTACTCTCTTTTAATTCAATACTTCCTATCCTAGCTCTGAAATGCAGAATCTCTGTCTTTTTGTGTTAGTTCATTGCCCAATTTTAGGGGAAGCTCCTAAGGTCCCTGAGTAAACAGATTTTTTTCTGCTTAGACCCAAGATCTATATCATCTCCTTCAGTTCAAAACTGTACCCTTAAAAGTCACCAGAAGAGCACTGTATAAACTGGAGTTCCTTAATCAATTAATTTAAATTCTTTTCCTTTCCTCTATACAGCTTATGAACTCAGTTTTTGATCTTTTTTTAAAAATTCAATTAATTAACATATATTATTGGTTTCAGAGGTACAGGTCTGTGATTCTTCGGTCTTATATAATATCCAGTGCTCATTACAACACATACTCTCTCCAATGTCCATCACCCAGTTACCCCCATCCTCCCACTCCCTCCCCTCCAGCAACCCTCAGTTTGTTTCCTATGATTAAAAGTCTCTTATGGTTTGTCTCCCTCTCTGGTTTCATCTTGTTTTATTTTTTCCTCTCTTGCCCTATGATCCTCTGTTTTGTTTCTTAAATTCCACATATCAGTGAGATCATATGATAATTGTCTTTCTCCGATTGACTTACTTCACTTAGCATAATACCCTAGAGTTCCATCCACCTCATTGCAAATGGCAAGATTTCATTTTTTTGGATGGCTGCGTAATATTCCATTGTATGTATGTGTGTATATATATATATATTTATACCACATCTTCTTTATCCATTCATCTGTCGATGGACATCTGGGCTCTTTAAAAGTTATTTATTAACTGCTCGAAGAAAACACCTGTGTTGTAGAAAAAATACAGAAAACAAAAGAAAACATTTAATTACCTACAAACCTACTACCCAGAAATAACAGAATACCTTCATATGTAATTTTCAGCCTTTTTTTCTGTTCATATATGTTTATGCATGAGTGTGTTTACAAAAATATTATTATATGCTCTTAATTACATTTCTATTTGTATGCATTATTATAATACATAGTATTATCTACTATGTACTATAGTAATACATGTTCTTTTATGCTTTGCTGTTTTTGCTCAACTTTTTGTTTTGAATAGTTGAATACAACTATTTGTATTTGTTTCCATAAGTATACACCTACATAATCATTCTTAATTTACACTTCAATCTTGATCACCAAGGTTAGACTCATAATGTCAGAGCTCAAACGGACTTTAGAGATAATGTTATTTAAACTGCTCATCTTATAGCTTAGGAGGGAAGTCAAGAAGGATGAAATAGTGGTTAGTGGAAGAGCCAGAACCGAAATTCACAACATCTAATACTTTGTCCACCTCTTTATAGATTCCTCTTGTTTGCTCCCCTCTGCATTCTCCTTGTTTCTGAAGCTCTCATATCGCAAAATTCTGTCCCACAGAGAATGTCAGCCTCCATTTGAACTCACACCATTTATTTCCTGTCTCAGGGAGTTATTTCTCCCACCTCTACCTCTGGTTTAATTTTTTTTTTCTTGTCCACTGTCAGTCTCTACAACTTAAACTTCCTTTCGTCAAGCTCATGTCAATCAGATAGCACTCTCAAATTGCTAATGACTCAGAGGATAAGCAGGGGGAGGGGGTCTTTCCCATGGATAAATACCATTTGACCAGAAGGAAATGAATGGAGAATGTGCCCCCAGATCCCACATGGACGGTTACACTTAGGGGGTGCTGTTAATTGAGTACAACTCATGACTGTCACTCTTGTACTCCTGTTTCTCAGGAGACTGTGGCCCTCCTGGGAATCCCGCTCATGGCTATTTTGAAGGAAAAGATTTCAACTCAGGTTCTACCATTACTTACCACTGTGAAGACAGGTAAGTGCATGCAGCCTTTCAAATGCAAGATCTTGCCAATTGACTGGTAGCATTGTTTTGGGGAATGACCCAGTCCATCTCACCTAACACCCAGATTTCCTACTGTCTCAGGAATCTGAGCTCATTCTGATTTTGAGAGCTGCTTTAGCCCACTGCTGGCTCTCCCTAATCTCTAGAAGATAGACTGATCTTTTTATTTATCCTAGAGAAGATATTTAAAATGTATATTTTTCTAAAGAATCTCAGAACAAAAACTCAGAGAAATATAGAACATATGGAACTGCAGAAAGAGTGATTTATTGATCGTTCCAGCCTGCCCACGCCCCCCCCCCCCAGTCTGGTTTCCTATTTGCAGTTACTTGAAAAATATATATATATATTCTTTAAAAAAAAAAAGAAAGAAAAAGAAAGAGAATGACTTATAGAACCTTAATAACCTTAACTTAGACTACCTGATCACCCACCTTACAGATCTACTCTTTCCTTGGCTTCAGTCTTATTAACTCAGGGTCATGTCTCCACATTAACATTTCAATGTCGTAATATACTTCTAGTGGACTTTGCCATCAGCTCTTATGTTTTTCTGATTAAAAGCTGTAGCTCCTTCATAAGACTTATCTGAGTGTTATCTCTAGCTTTCCACTCCTTTTTAGAGGGTAGATGGCAGATGCTTTTTTAAGTTATTGAATGATGACATGCTTCCTCCCTCACCCTCCCCACCCAACAACTGTGTAAACACACATATTCAGAATTTCTCACTTCTCCATGTTTTATGGGTTGAATTGTCACTTGGGTCCTCTCCGCCCCCAAAGAGAGTGGTTTTAGTTGATTACTGTTTGGTAATACTGAAATCACTTAAGCATGCGTTAAGGCTCAGGGAGGTGGATTCTATCACGGTAGGAAATACCGAAATACAGCTATACAAAACCAGGCTTAGCTGCTCAGTTTAGAAGGTGGGAAGTCTAAGTGTTGTTGCCATTCTGATTTCTGTTCAGGTACCACTTGGTGGGCACACGGGACCAGCAGTGCATTGACGGGGAGTGGAGCAGTGCACTTCCAGTCTGTGAGTTGATCCAAGAAGCTCCCAAACCAACTCCACAGACGGAGTTTGAGAAGGCACTCGTAAGTAGTAGGCTTTTGTCTGTCTTGTTCACAGTTGTATCTCCAGGGCCTGGCATCACTCCTGGCGCATGCTCAGTAAATATCTGTTCAGTGGGGGATGTTTTTGAAGGGTTGGTTAGACAGGGGCTCATAAACTATTAACTCACATTTTTATATATGGAAGTTCTCATTCACCACCATCATCACAAACACTTCATGAGACCTGTTGGTAGGAGTTATTGTCTCATGGACTTTACAGAGCAAACTTTATAAACTCATGTCTTAGACTTGTATGCATTGATGTGAAAAATCTCTAAAATTCTTCTAGATTCCAAAAACCACTGAATAAATCATTTTCATTGAGATCCCTCTTTTAGTTTATATTTATTGCTGGGATAATAATAAGTATCTAAAAGCCAGAAGATTTAGATGATTTATCATGTTGAAGACCCAGATTTGTATTTAAGCTACTGGATTCTGAGCCCCTAGTCAGGGACCTAAGCACTACTCATTAGCTTCAGACTATACAGCTGGATCTCAGTTCTTAAGTTGTAGCTTAAAATTTTTTTCCTTTTCTTCAGTTTGCCTTTCAGGAGAATAAAGAACTTTGCAAAGCCATAGAGAACTTTGTGCAAAGACTAAAGGAAAATGGTTTAACAATGGAGGAACTGAAATATTCTCTGGAAATAAAGAAAGTTGAATTGGAGGCAAAAATGTTGTCCTGACATTGTAGCTGAGCAGACTGGGTAATAGAAATGCACCTATGAATAAATTTTCTCTGGGTTCTAAAACTGGTTTCAGATTTTTCTCTCATTAGACTGGAACGCGACTTCATAGAAATCAACTGCAGTTGCATAAAACACCGTGTGTGTGTGTGTGTGTGTGTGTGTGTGTGTGTGTGTGTGTGTGTGTTCTCAGAATGTGGGAAGACCAAGTGTGGTGGTTGTCTGTTTAAGACCAGAGTTAGCGGGCGCCTGGGTGGCTCAGTTGGTTAAGCGACTGCCTTCAGCTCAGGTCATGATCCTGGAGTCCCGGGATTGAGTCCCACATTGGGCTTCCTGCTCGGCAGGGAGTCTGCTTCTCCCTCTGACCCTCTTCCCTCTTGTGCTCTCTATCTCTCATTCTCTCTCTCTCAAATAAATAAATAAAATCTTTAAAAAAAAAAAAAAAGACCAGAGTTAGCAGCACATCAGTGGGGAGTGAAGGGTCTAATTTCCTGTCTGTAAGGAGAATGGAAAGCTCAGATCACAGCTAAGGGTGTGTCTTATATTTTAATGAAACACGAATGGTGAGGCAAAAAATAACCTCAAATTAACCAAAAACTATGAAGCAAAAATCAACCTCTCAGTTTGAGAAAATAGGTTCAGAACAGTAATATCCTTGAAATAACCTGTTGAGACAAAAGTAGAATTAGGACTTAAACTCTGAGTCTCCCCTATATCCTGTTTATGAAACCAAGTTTCTAAATCTTCCGCAGTAATATTGCTTACCACATTTGGATGAAACCCAGCCCTGCCTGGTAAATTTGAGATGGTGAAATATAAGTGAATATGTTCTTTTCTTCTTTTTAGAGGGCAGGAGAAGCAAGAATCCTGAGGTAGAATAGGTTTTCCTATCAAGATGCCATATTGAGACAATATGACAAAATTCTTCCATCTCTCACTCTGACCTCCACCAAAACACATAGGAAATCTGGATAAATACAAACAAAATATAGAAGAGAGCTTGAAATAATGGAATGTCCCTCGATGAAATCATGAAGGAGAATAAGAAATAGGAATAAGAAACTCTCAAGTACCCCACAGTCTATTAATAGACACATGACAAGTATACACATACCATTAATTCAGGGTGGTTAGAATGAAATAAACACTTTTCACAGAACAATGTGCTAGGGGAGCTCAGCTTTGAGGAGGGGGCCTTCTGTCTGGGAGGAGGAGGCAGTAAAATTGTTAAGGAGAGTCACAGTTATCGGGCCTTTAAAAGTGAGTAGGACTGAGAGACAAAGATTAGGGAAGAGGACATGGCAAGTGGGAAGATTTGGAGAAGTGTAGTAAGAGCATCATAAAGAGCCATAAGCTTTTGAACCAAGTAAATCCACTCCTCAGGTTCATCTAACTTGAGCAAAATGATTTTTAATTTGAAGCTATTCATTCTATTATTGTGTATATTGTCTATACTGGGGAGACCTTGTGAACATTTGAAATGTCCAATCTTAGGAATATTTTTAGTAAATTATGGCACATCAAATGTAATGCAACCTCTTACAGTGATAATTATGAATAGAAAATCTTAAAAATATAATCCCAAGTAAAAGTAGAATACAGATTAATAAGAACTTATGATTGCATTTCTATAAAACCTTTCTCCTTGTAGAGGAGGACCAGGCAATAACAGGCACAGATGAAAACACTTGTCTTAGGATGGTGAAACTCCAGGTGTTTATTCTCCTAAAGTTCTTTAATTTTTTTTTAAAGATTTTACTTATTTATTTGAGAGAGTGAGTGAGTGAAAAAGAGAGAGCAGAGGCAGAGGGAGAGGGAGAAGCAGACTACACTGCTGAGCAGGGAGCCCAACGCAGGGCTCAATCCCAGGACCCTGGGATCATGACCTGAGCCGAAGGCAGATGCTTAACCAACTCAGCCACCCAGGTGCCCCAAGTCTTTTAATGTTTTAAATTGAGTTTTTAATAATAAGTTTTTAAAAACGTGTTGTGCAGAGAGGAAGGAAAGATGGAGCATGTTTAGGGAATGGCGCACGGCCTGGATTTGCCTGGATAAAGCATGGGAAGTGATGAGAAAGAAGGCTGGACAGATACATTAAAGCCAGTTGACGGAAGCTTTTAAAGGGCAGAGAATTTAAACTTTATTTGGTACGCAGTGAGGGGAAATCAAAGACTTCCAAGAAAAGAAGTGGTAAGGATCGAACACAGATTTTGCTCACAACATTATGTAGTATGGGTAGAAATAGGAAAGAATAGAGAGAAAGAAACCATCTTAAGCACTACTGCGGTATGCAGGAGACAATGATGACCTGAACTGGATGATGGCTGCAGAAACAGAGAAAGAATATCAGACATGAGAGACACTGGAGAATAAATAAAAACAACTTATCAACTCACTGAACATTGGAGGATGAGGGAGAGGAAGGGTTTAAAGGTGAGTTTGAAATTGCATTCCTGGAAGCCTGATTATTGTTGGGGTCAGAAAGTGAAGCTTCTGGGCAGGAAACGAGAAGTTCCCCCTTTGGATGTGCTGCATGTAAGGTGATTGTAAGATGTCTGATGGACAACAAAAAATGTTAAGTCTGCAGTTAGGAGAGGAATCAGAGATAAAGAGCTAGTTATGGGGTGGTCATCTTATAAGGAATAGTTAAAGCCATGACAGCAGGTACAATAATTTTAAAGATAATGAAGAGAAAAATTTTTGAAAAGACGAACCTGAGACATATCTATACATAGGGATGAGAAAGACCAAGAAGAGAACAACTAAGAGCATTTCATGAAAGAGGGGAATCAGAAAAGTTCAGGGTAATGGAAGCCAAAGGAGAGGAGTTTCAGAAAGGAGATAAATAGTGTTAAGGGCTGCTGAGAAAGAAATTTTGGATTTGGAGATAAGGACATGCCTGAAAGAGGTTTGTCCCAAGGGAGGGAAGAAGCCAGATCTTAAGGCCATGATGATGGAAGGGGCTGGGAGGGATTAATGAGAAAGAATAAACAGGAAACGCAGGAAACCTAAGAAGTTAAACATCTCATGACAACAAAAATGGAATTTGAGGTTTTGGCAAGATTTAGGGAATATTTCGGGATGATTTAGGGAATATTTCAGATGCACTGAAAATAAGAAAACAAAGATGGGCAACATCTTGCTTCTTCTGAAGCAAGAGTGTGACTGGAAGAGGGGCGCCTGGGTGGTTCAGTCAGTTAAAGATCTGCCTTGGGCTCAGGTCATGAATCCAGGGTCCTGCTCAGCAGGGAGGCTGCTTCTCCCTCTCCCGCTGCCCCCCCCACTCATGCTCTCTCTCTCTCTCTCTCTCTCTCTCTCTCTCTCAAATAAATAAAATCTTTTTTTAAAAAAAGAGTGACTAGGAAAGAAGAATGAATAGAAGCTACCAGAGAATGATTGTTTAGCAGAGTAGGAGGCAAGACCACCTGCTGAGAGGAAGCCCATTCCGTGGCCTGGAGAGAAAAATTTGGAATAGTCACTATGGAAAGTAAAGAAAAGCACTCCAACAGATTGGGAAATGGTATTTTGAAGACTCAACTTAGCTCTCAAGACGTGGCGCAATCTGGAATCCTTCTCTACAATCATTCCTGTCAAATTGGGAAATCAGTCTCTCCTTGTAATTTGGCCCATGTTATCTTTACCTCTAATAGCCTTCTCATTTTCATCTAATCATTTTTCCACTTTTCATTCAAAGCCCAGCTCAAATCCCGTATCTCTGTCAAAGCTTCAAAGCTTCTGTTGTGCTTCAACTCTACTCTTTTCTGAGACCTTTCTGAGACTTTTGGTGTTTATGACAGAAAAAGTGAAGTTTTCAGGAAAAACTGCACTTTAATAGCAATCTCCTAGCTCACAAACCTTGATCCTGAGGATTAATACCTTAATTAGATAATGTCAGGGTTTGGGGTCCTTCCTAGATCTGTGTGATCACAGACATGCCAGCCCTTTGTTGCATTTCTCGGAGCAGTGCTCAATGATAGACCAACTTCTGAAAGTCATTTGGCGTCCAGCATGTACTAGTCGTGGTGGTGGTGGTAGTTAGTTAACATGTTCCAGGCAACAGGGCCCAGCAGGAATTCGGTAAATTTGTTAAACTCCCCACCATTGTACTTTCTTGGGGTGGAATGAAGACCAGCACAGGGCAAAGTCATCAGTCACTGAGCCCCAGGAAGGCCTGCTGGACCTAGCATCAAGGAAAGTGGATCAAGGTGGACCTAGTCTCAACCCTACAGTGTCCCAAGTTTTCTAGGTTAGCTGGATTGCATCTTATGTGTCTGTCTTGTATTTAGGAAAAAAGAAAAAACAAATCTGGCATCAAATTCATATTACCTTTCCACTTAGGGGAAATGGTTGGCAGAGGAGAGAACAAACAATTGCAACATGTTATCAAGAAGGAGGTTCGTGCCCAGGAAGGAGATTAGGTAAATACCAGTGCTTTATTTCCATTGTTAATCATTCACTGAGCCAGTAGAAAGTTTCTGCCCATCCATTAGAATTTAGCCATCCCTGACCAGCCAACCACATGGCTGGAATTCAGGGACTTCTCGGTGGTGCAATTACTAGCTAGCTTCAGGGTACTCTGGTAAACTCTGATCTGGGGAGGAACTAAAACTATTAGAGATCCAGGCAGTTTTTTTCCCTTGAGAAACGACCCAAGGCACCACGATAGAGTCTTCTACTTCTTCCTCAGCTACCTGCAGGTCAGTGGATTGTTTGGGGTACCTTGGGGAAAAGGCTGCTGGTTTGGCCCTTTAAGGAGGGCAAGAGAGACAAAAACTTGGGGGTACTTTCAGCAGAAATCTTCTCAGGAGTCCTGCATTAGGGGGTTGTATGACCTGAAAAGTACTTCTAATCCCTCTGAGCCTCAATTTTTTATTACAAATGGGGGCATGAATAAACTGAAGCAGAAAGGAAGTAAAAGGTTACTCTTGTTATTGTATCTAAAAGTTGAGTGTGTTGGTTCATTGATTCTTTTTTTTTTTTAAAGATTTTATTTATTTATTCATGAGAGACAGAGGGAGAGAGAGAGAGAGAAGCAGCCTCCCAAGGAGCAGGGAGCCCGATGCAGGACTCGATCCCAGGACCCTGGGACCATGAGCCGAAGGCAGACACTTAACCATCTGAGCCACCCAGGCGCCCTGTTCATTGATTCTTTACCATCACTCCACACAGGGGAGTTGAAGCAGGAGGTAAACCAGACTTTCCAAAGAGGTTCACAGAAGACCTGGTTTAGAATGTAGACCTAGTCTACATTCTAAAAATTGATGCAGCTCCCTTTGGAGATTTTATTAACCCCTCCACATCTTCTCCACCATCCACAGCAAAGATCTTTTGATTTAATAATAAGAAGAATGTTGGTCAGCCTCCAGTTACTTTCTGAAGCTAGAAGTCTTAACTGTTCTCACCTCCTTTCTCTTCCCCACTTTTCTGAATCTGGCAATGCTGATTACCCTTCCTTCTGGAAATTTCCTTCTCCCTTGGTGGGGCAGGACACAGTACTATTCTTGTTCTTATTTCAACTCCTCAACCACTCTTAGCTGACTCCTGTTCTGTCCCTAAATACAGTAGTACAGAGAGCATGAAAAATAGAGTATCCAGAATGGGCAGAAGCTTGAATTAAGTGTAGTGATACACTTGAATATAATATGAGCACAAAAGGAAGAAGCTGATAGATAAAGAGATTTTAGGAAGGAGGCGAAAGTGTGGAAGCAAGTTCTTTCTGGAATCTGAAAGTGATGTGATTGAGTGTGCAGCAGCAAGAAAGGAGCTGAGATTGGATAAGAATATTACCCTTTCCAGAGGTATGTAAGCTTTAAAAGGGCAGAGTTTAGACAAAATAAGTACATGGACTTAAAAAGTAGTCTCTAATGGAAGGAGAAATTTGGGAGCTGAGAATTTTCCCAGTGCCTCTCAAGTTGTACTGCACCGCGCATGCCAACAGTATTTGGTATCAGAGACCTGTCGTGTTGACTATAGCTCTTGAGTTGGTTTCACCTCTATAGGAATTTAAAAGGTGATAAAGTCATTGAAATATGAGGGCATTTACTAGGGAAGTCTTAGCTTTTCAGCGGGCAGCTAATAGCATTCTAGACTTTGTAGGGAATGGAAAGATGATCTAAGTTTACTGTCATCATTTGAGAGATGAGAAACTGAGACCCAAGGAGCTGACATGGCTTCTTCAAGATCATAGAATTAGACTGTAGTATGACTGGGGCTCAAATTTGGGTCTCCTTAACTCACAAGTCCTAGCCTCCATCCCTATCCTCTGTAGTCTGCTGAATCCTGTGCAGGTTCTGCTGAGGGACCACAAGGCATAGTGATGGTGAACTCCAGATGCCCCCCCTTGGTCTGCTGAGCCACCACACAGCCTCAGAACTAGTGAGGGAAGTGGGATCACTGTATCATTTATCTCTTCAACATTTACGAAGCATTTCACACACGTTATTCCCTTTGGTCCTCAATAAGGCAGTTAGTCATTCTTACTCTGAGGATAAAACTATATTGAGTTTTATTTATTTCACATTTATTGGATAACTATTACATGCCAGTTACAATATCAGGTCAGCACTAGGAAGCTGAATAAACATCTTTGTCTTCAAGGGACCCACAATTTATTTTAGGAGGCAAAAGTGAATAGACAATGAAGAGATACAATACCATGTGGTAGGATGATTAAGGTATCAGTAAAATACTAGGGGAGCATAGAAGAGGCTGATATTTCTCAGTGGGGTTGGACAATTCTTCATTAAGAAAGTGAGGAGGTTGGAGGTAGGAGCACCTGTCATAAGAGATATTATATGCAAATGCTTTCAAGTGTTTAAAAAAATCCAGGATAGGGTGGGTGGGTTGCTCAGTTGGTTAAGTGTCTGCCTTCAGGTCAGGTCATGATCCCAGGGTCTTGGGATTGAGCACCGTATTGGGCTCCCTGCTTATCCCTCTCCCTCTGCCCCTACCCCCACTTGTGTACTCTCTCTCTCTTGCTCTCTCTCTCTCAAATAAATAAATAAAATCTTTTTAAAAATCCAGGATGTATTTTGGGAAAGGTATGCACCTTCATGAAATTGAAGCCCAGTGTTTTTTTTGTTTTGTTTTGTTTTAATTTTATTATGTTATGTTAGTCACCATACATCATTAGTTTTTGATGTGGTGATCCATGATCCATTGTTTTCGTATAACACCCAGTGCTCCATGCAGTACGTGCCCTCCTTAATACCCATCACCAGGCTAACCAATCCCCC